GGGGGGGCGAGAGTGGCGCAGTGTCGAGGGGAAAGGAGAGGGGCGAGGAGGCGAGCGGAGAGGATGGCGAGGCGAGAAGAGGAGAGAAGAGAGCGGGGCCTCGACGGCGACGGCGAGGGTCGAGAAGGCGGTCTGGGTGCGTGACGCGCAGCCGCCGCGCCGGTCGCCGACACGCAGTAGCAGCTGCAGATTGTGGATAAGCGCCTGCGGCATGCACGCTCGCGTGCACGTCCATATCTCCCCATATCTCCCCACATCTCCCCACCTCTCCCCACCTCTCCCCACCTCTCCCCACATCTCCCCACATCTCCCCACATCTCCCCAGATCTCTCCATATCTCCCCACATCTCCCCATATCTCTCCATATCACCCCAGATCTCCCCAGATCTCCCCACATCTCCCCAGATCTCCCCAGATCTCCCCAGATCTCCCCACATCTCCCCACATCTCCCCACATCTCCCCACATCTCCCCATATCTCCCCACATCTCCCCACATCTCCCCACATCTCCCCACATCTCCCCATATCTCCCCAGATCTCCCCATATCTCTCCAGATCTCCCCAGATCTCCCCAGATCTCCCCAGATCTCCCCAGATCTCCCGCCTCATCGGCGGGGCGCGACGCGTCGATGGCGACGGCGGGCGGCGAGTGCCAGCCGAGCTTCTTGAGGACGCGAAACAGGTCCCTCCAGAGCTTCGACTCGCTCCGCCCCTTTGGCCCGCACGTCAGCGAGTGCTTCTCGGCGAACGGGCGCAGGTCGGAGCAGCCGGGATCGAGCAGCACGTCCTGCGCCGCAGCCACGTGCGCGAGGCTGTCGGGGATGCGCAGCTCGCGCTTGAGTCGCGCCAGCTCGGCCAAGTCCGGCCGCAGGGCGAGTGCAGCCGGCCACTCGCTCCGCAGCTCGGCGCCGCGCGGGCCCTCCCCCACCTGCTCCTCCCCCTCCTCCCCCTCGTCGTCGTCGTCGTCGTCCTCCTCCCCCCCCTCGCCCTCCCCCTCCCCCTCCTCCTCCTCCTCCTCCTCCTCCTCCTCCTCCTCCTCCTCCTCCGCCTCCTCCGCCTCCTCCTCCTCCTCCGCCTCCTCCGCCTCCTCCTCCTCCTCCTCCGCCGCCGCCGCCGCTACAGCCACCGCCTCGAAGGACCGCTCCTCGCCCCGCTCCTCGCCCTCCTCGCCCTCCTCGCCCTCGCACTGCTGCATCCGCTGCTGCATCCGCTGCTGCTGCTGCTGCTGCCGCTGATGCTGCTGCTGCTGCCGCTGCTGCTGCTGCTGCATCCGCTGCTGCTGCCGCTGCTGCTGCTGCATCCGCCGTTGCTGCTGCTGCTGCTGCTGCTGCTGCTGCTGCTGTTGCTGCTGCTGCTGCTGCTGCTGCTGCTGCGCAGCGTGCCGCGCGTACGCCACTGCCGCCTCCACCGCCGTGTCGAAGGTGCCCAAGTAGTTCTGCCTGCCGTCCACCATGCACTTCACTCGGAAGCGGCCAGAGGGAATCTTTGAGACGCCGGTGTAGCCGGTCTGGTTGCTGTTGGACAGGTGCAGCTGCAAGCCCTCGGACTCCGCTGCCGCCCGCGCCTCGCCCTCCTCGCCCCGCTCCTTGCCCTCCTCCCCCTCCTCGCCCGCCGCCGCGGCCGGCTGCCAATCAGCCTCCATCGCCTCCTCCTCCCACTGTTGCTGCTGCTGCTGCTGCTGCTGCTGCTGCTGCTGTTGCTGCTGCTGCTGCTGCTGCTGCTGCTGCTGCTGCTGCTGCTGCTGCTGCTGCTGCTGCTGCTGCTGCTGCTGCTGCTGCTGCTGCTGCTGCTGCTGCGCAACGTGCCGCGCGTACGCCACCGCCGCCTCCACCGCCGTGTCGAAAGTGCCCAAGTAGACCAGCTTTCGAAAGTGGCCAATCCTGCCGCCGGCCCGACGCTCAGCGCGGAAGCGTCCAGAGGGAGTCGTTGAGACGCCGGTGTAGCCGGTCGCGTTCCTGCTGGACAGGTGCAGCTGCAAGCCTACGGCGGTGAATCCGCCTTCGATGCCTCTCGTCGTCGCACCACGACTCGTCACGGCGGGGCCGCGAAGAGTGACTCGAAGTCTCCTCGACGCCGGAGGGAGGAGTCGGCGGAGGAGGCTCGCTTGGCGGGGAGTGCGGTCTTGTGCAGAGTCCTCAGAGCACCGCGTGAATACATGGGCTACGAGTACGGCGAATCCAGCGGAATACGAACGGAGTGCAGCGGAATCCGTGTCCTCCCGAGCGCTAGTTGGAATACAAGAGTCCGTCTTCCGCTTCTAGGGCGGGAGATATGGGGAGCTATGGGGAGATCTGGGGAGATCTGGGGAGATATGGGGAGATATGGGGAGATATGGGGAGATATGGGGAGATATGGGGAGACAGTGTCGCTTCTAGGGCCGCTGGCCCTCCGCGTCAGCAGCCGCGAAGGACCTGCCGCATCCCGGAGTATCCTCCTCCTCCGCCTCCTCCTCCTCCTCCTCCTCCTCCTGCTCCCCCTCGTAGTCCTCTCCCTCCGCCTCCTCCTCCTCCTCCTCCTCCTCCTCCTCCTCCTCCTCCTCCCCCTCCGCCGCCTCCTCTCGCAGCATCTCGTGCAGCGAGACGTCCTCCAGCAGCTAGCCGTCGTCGCACTGCACCGAGTATAGGCTCGACGCGCCGTCAAAGCCCACGACCTCGCCCGGGTACAAGGCGCCGCCGGAGTACCTGCTCGCCGACGAGGGGGTGTGAAGAGGCGCTGTTCACAGCAGCAGCTCCGAGAGAGGCACCAGGGCACCGGATGGCGCAGCGGCCTCCCACCTCGAACGGCCTCTCCTCCTCGCCGCCACCGCTCCGCCCACCCGCCTCGCCACCACACTCCTCATGCTTCCCCGCCAGCTCCGCCGCCGCCTCGCCGCCCGCCGCCTCGCCGGCCGCCCGCGCGTACGCCACCGCCGCCTCCACCGCCGAGTCGAAGGAGCCCAAGTAGACCAGCTTTCCGCCCACCCTGCGCTGCGCCCAGAAGCGGCCAGAGGAGCGGTGCTCGTACACGCCCTTGTAGCCGGTGGCGTTGCTGCTAGAGAGGTGCAGCTGCACGCCCCCCGTCTCCGCCGCCACCGGCACCTCGCCCCCCTCCTCCTCGCCACCCTCCTCCTTCTCCTCCTTCTCCTCCTCGCTGTCCTCGGCGGCGGTCTCCCTCGCCTCCGGACGCGCGCGGCTGCAGCCGACGCCGCTCTCGGGCGCGAACTCTACCGCACCACCCACGGGACCGAACCCACACTGGATTCGAGACTCTGGCGGTAGGGTACAGACGGCCCGCTCGGGCGCGAGCTCGTCGTCAAGGGCGCAGGCTCCGCGCTGCTCGTCGGAGTGGGTGGGCCTAGAGGTGATGATCACACACACGGTCGTTGACCAGGTTGGCGGCGCGTAGGAGATAGTGAGTGCTGCATCGCCGAGATGGCCTTCAACCCATCGCTCTCCGCTCTCACACTCACCTCGCTCTCCACAAGGAGGAGGTGTCTCAGTGGACCATACATCCACTTCGCCACCGATGAGCTACCTTGCCTCTCACACACCTCTCGCTCATATCTCGCGCGATCTCGAGAACGACTGTCACACGCACCTCTCTCGGGCCGCCGTCAGCCTCTGCTCGTCCGACTGGGAGGGTCCCCCCGCCTCAGCCGCCGGATGAAACAGCTCCGCCAGCGGCACCGCCTCCTCCTCGTCGCCGTCCTCGTACGCCACGCCAAAGGTGCCTGCTCACAGCTGCAGGTGTGAACACGGCGTCTCTTCACAGCTCGTACGCCCCACGCCAGAGGTGCCGTCGTTGTTGACGGACGCCACCTCGCCGCGGTACCTACAAGGGGAGGGAGGGGAGAGGGTCGACAAGAGCAGCTCCTCCCCGTCGCAGTCTTGGACACGCTCGAGCCGCGGCACCAGCGAGACACGTCCGAGAAGTAGACCGCCACCGCAGCCCCCTCGACGGCGTCGGCAGCGGCGAGCGGCGCGCCCGGAAACTGCTGCTGCGGCTGCTGCTGCGGCTGCTGCTGCTGCGCAGCGTGCCGCGCGTACGCCACCGCCGCCTCCACCGCCGTGTCGAAGGTTCCCAAGTAGTTCTGCCTGCCGTCCACCATGCACTTCACTCGGAAGCGGCCAGAGGGAATCTTTGAGACGCCGGTGTAGCCGGTCTGGTTGCTGTTGGACAGGTGCAGCTGCAAGCCCTCGGACTCCGCTGCCGCCCGCGCCTCGCCCTCCTCGTCCGGCACCGCCGCCGCCTCCTCCTCCCTCTCCTCCCTCTCCTCCCTCTCCTCCTCCTCCTCCTCCGCCGCCGCCGCCGCCGCCGCCGCCGCCGCCGCCGCCTCCCACTCCTCCTCCTCGTCCGGCGGAGGCGTCCCGGGAGGCGCCTCGGACCCCTCCGCCGCGGCAGGCATGGCGGCCT